ATAATAAAAAAAAGAAAGAAGAAGAAGACATGCATCAATAATATAATAGATTTAGGATGAGTTTGGAAGAAAAAATTGAGGAGAAATTTGTGGAGGCAAAAGAAAAAAAGAAAAAAAAAAGTGAGCCAAATATACAAGCTAAATTTTAATCACCTTTTTCCTTTCCTTTCATTTTTCTTTCTTTTCATTTTTCTTTCTTTTATATATATATATATATATAAATTTTTAATCCAAACACAATATTAAGCCTTCATTTGAGATGTGGGATAGATTTTTGACTTTTTGGTTTTTGGCTTAGAGCTAAAAAGTCTTATTTGGGATAGATTTTTTGACTTTTTTGACTTTTGTAAGAGAAAAAATGAAATGATTATAATTTAGATGTGATGTTTTGCCTTATTGGATTAAAAATTCTTTTTTTTTTTGACAATTTTAGTCTAATATGACATGCCAAACAAAGCCTAATTAAACTTTTGCTCACGAATTGTGTACATCAGCAGTGCTCCATACCCCCGGCACCCCCACATACACGTGGGGGACTGTGAGAGGAAGACTAAAAAAAGAAAAAAATGAGCCAATCATCATTCAGTGGGGTGGTGGGGGTCGAATCAAGATCCTCTCCTTGTAATTCCTCCTTGACTTCCTACTTGCTAGATTATTGGGCTTACTTGTAGGCCCAATTTCGATGATCCGAACCGTTCACATTTTAAGATTTATTGAGTATATCATATCTGTAAAAAATCAAGTTGATCGGATATCAGAAAGTACGTGTTCGGAAAACTATTTATTAATTTTTTTAAAAAAATAGTTTTTAGTTCGATGATCCGAATATATATTTTCTGATATCCGATCAACTTGATTTTTTACAGGTATAATATACTCTACAAATTTTAAATGTGAACGGTTTAGATCATCGAAATTAAGCATAAAAATGGACCCAACAACTTAGCAAGTAAGAAATCAAGTAAGAATTTCAAAGAGGGGATCTTGATTTGTGAAGTCACCCCCACTCGGGTCTCTCTCTTTTTCCATGGACTCTTGATCAAAAGACCATGTCCATTGGTTAAGTCAACTCTTATTAGTTGGAAACTCCCCAGTACTACACATTGCAAATCTGTTAATCCATATCTTGTAGGTTTTGAGGCTCAACAAGGGTAGAGATTGATAATACTAATACATTACAGATTATATATATATATAATTATAATAATAATTGATTAAGCTACATCATGGCTGGACACGTGTCCGTCATTAAGTGCTTCTAGAATACTTTCCGTACCAAGTTCCCTTCCATTGGCTCAATTTATGTATTTATTTTTTCAAATTTAAATTAAACATCTCAGTTCAAGACATTCCCTCACTCAACATCTGGAAAAGTGAGAGCAGAGATGGTGGTGGTGATGAAGCCAATTGAGGAAGTGTTCGAGGCCAAGACAGAACCAAGGTTCAAACCCAAGAAAGGAAGTGTAATTCCAGCAAAGAGGAGGCTGGTGAAGACCATGATGTTTAATTGCATAGTTGAATCCATTGCTTCTCTCTTCTGTTTTCGCTCTCACAACAATGGTAGCTGCCCAGAGATTGTCTTACCAATCAATACGTCAAATTCAATGATCCACAAGAAGACAAAAAAGGAACCTTTCCATACCCCTGAATTTCTTTACACTGATTTAAAATGTTTTTAATTTTATTTACACTTTTCATTTTCATCTATTGGTGTTGCAGGCAACATTTTCACTGATCATTAGTGTATTTTGTTATCTTATATGTCATACTCTTTTGTTATTTGTATGGATTTTCAATACCCAGAAAGTCAATATTCTGAATCCTCTGTTTGTTTCTCAGAGGGAATGATAATGCAAAGTTGTTATTGTTCATCTCTTTTCTTGCTTGGTATTTTTTTTTTTTTACAATTTTTTTTCCTGCAACCAAACAGAAGAAAAGACGCGAATTTCAATTGCCATCAAGCCCAACATAGGCCAAATTCAAAGCAAATGATGAACCCCTTTGAATTGAGACTTCTATAAAATCATTTGGAACTTTTGGCTGTGACAAAAGCTTTACCCTTTTTCTTTTCTTTTCTTTTCTTTTCTTTTTTTTTTATGTAGATTCATTTCTCATCATTGCTTTGGCAGTCTCATAATGTTACTTTATTTTATTTTATTTTTATTTTTATTTTTATTTTTTTCTAAGAAAAAGCCGTCTCATAAAGTTTGGAAAATTTAATAAGCATTCATCAAATTCACGCCTGTTTGTTTTTAGAAATAGAATGAAGAGAATTTATAGTGAGAGGATTGATAGTAAAGGAATTAAGTAAAATTATGTTTATTTTCATGATAGTTGTTGGTGTAGGGATTGTTAAATTATTTTTATATAAAATAAATATAAAATAATAAAATATATACAAAAATATTAAACATTAATATTAAAAAAAAATGCCCAACATGTAAAAATAATAATAATAAAATAAAAAATTTCAAAAAAAATAAAAATAAATAAAATAATAATTTTTACTTAACAAAAAAAAAATTAAACATTAATGTTAAAAAAAAAAACAGCCCAACATGTAAAATATATAAAAAATAAAAAAAATTTAATCCGGCGAACTATTTTTCTAATATCACCTCCACCTCCACCTCCTCCATCCCAATCCTCCTTCCAAGATCTAACATAATCTCCTCCATCTCAATCACTTCCCTAAATCTATAAACAAACACAATACTAAATGGATCTCACTTTTATTCTAATCCCATAAACTCTATATCCCAAAATAAACGAGGCCTCAAGACATATGATTTGAACTCATTGAATTCCTCGGCTCAAAATTTGGAGAGAGAGAGAGAGAGAATTAGCAATACTAAAAAATGGTCAGCATTTGCAAATTCTTCTATTAATTTGGCAAAATAGAACAGATTTATACAAATTGTGACTTCTTGCTTTTATAAGCATGTCTTCTCATTTCACAGTTCCATCATTTGTTTATTTATTTATTTACCCACAGTTCCATCATTTGTTTATTTATTTATTTACCTATTTTTGTTAATCCACCTTTGTATATTTTATTTTTATTTTTGCAATCCCTTATCCAGATATTGATAATTTTAGAATTTTGAGGTTGTGATTACTATGTCTGTTTTAGTCCGTGGTCAAACAAAGCCATCAGTACTAATAAAATCAAACTGGCAACCAACAACCTTGAAAGAAAGACTCCCTGGACAGCCACAATTTCTTTCATAACACATGAGAAAGTAAGATTCCCCACTATTATTACGATAATTGATTTGTCTTGTTTGGTTGAAGTCATTACACCATAATGGATAAGCTAAAAAACATGGATTTTAAACATCTATACAGGTCCTTCGGCTATTAAATTTGCACCTTATTCAAAAGTTGGGTATGGTTGGTAATGTTTACGTTTTTAGTTTGTATTTACAAAGATTTTATAAATTGGTTTTTGTTTATTTTTAGAAAAACATAAACTACAAACACGTTTAGTAATTGACAAAATGTTTAAAAAAAAATTAAAATATAAAAAAGAGGGAGAAATGGCAAGTGATGGCAAGTGGCGGCGGAAGACGGTGGTGGAAAGTGGTGACGGTGGGTGATGGGTAGCTGGTGGCGGTGGTGATGGTGATGGTTGGTGGGTGATGGTGGCAGGTGGGTGGGTGACGGTGGCGGGTGGTGGGTGGTAGCGAGTAGGTGGTGGTGGGTGGTGGCGGGTGCGTGGGTGACGGTGGCGGTGGCCGGTGGTAGCGAGTGGGTGGTGGTGGTGGCGGTGGCGGGTGGTGGAAAGTGGTAACGGTGGGTGGTGGGTACCTGGTGGTGGTGGGTGGTGGCGGGTAGGTGGGTGACGGTGGCGGGTGGTGGGTGGTAGCGATTTAATAAATATCAATCATCAAAAATAAATCTCAATCATCGAATTTTATGGATTTTTTACCTTTTAGTCTTGTGCACATAGGACTGCTAAAAAAATAATAAGAAAATAAATAGAAGTACAAGGAAACGTTCATTCCATTAGAAATTTTATTCCATTTGATAGTTAATCGTTAGTGGACCTTTAAATGGTAAAAAAATAAAAATAAAAATAAAAATCATTTTTTCATTAATAATAAAATATATAAGGAGAACTACTAGAAAAATATAGAAGAAATAAATTCAAAATGGTGGAGAATAAAAAAAAAAAATGCAAAGTGGTGGGATATATCAGTGTAGTTACCGAAATACCCTTCTTAACCAAATCAACCTCTTCATTCCTCCACCATCTCTACCTGTTGGCCAAATCTTCACCACCCTTTCTAAATAACTGTCTACCCTTTCACACATTTTTTAGTTGCTAACCATTACATTTCTAGTTGCCAACCACTACATATCCATCATTTCCAACAACTGACCACCCAACACCCTACCTTCTTCTGCCTTCTGCTACCCCTTATTGAATTTTAGCCTTCCTTCCTCACCTCATCATCACCCCTTAACCCCTTTTTCCACTTCCCACAACCACCACCCTAATAAATAAATCCTCCTCTAACTTTTGCGCCCATCTCCTTAATATACTTTTTTTTTTAATACCCAAAAAAAAAAAAAAAAAAAAAAAGGAAGAAGAAGACGACGAAGAAGAAGAAGGGACACAGTTTCACCTTTTTTTTTTTTGTTTTTTTCATATTCTCATTATGTTTTTTTTTTTTGATGGCAAGAAATAAGAAGTTAATGTAATCCTCAAAAAGAAAAAAAAAAAAAAAAAACGGTGCCGTTTTGAACAGCACAGCAGGCACAACAGGGGCACCACCGCAGTGACCCCTTATCCATATTTTTATGCTATGTGCGTCCAAACAAACACGCAAGAAAGAATCACTAATATAAGTCAATCAATTACTATAGTCTAACTCATTTAAATTTACACAAACATGAAATCCTAACTGTTGTGTAAAAAATAAAAATAAAAATAGAAAAAGATAGATTTTATTACACTTGAATGTCTTGTAAATTGATAGAATGGATAATTGGCAGAAGAAACTAGTGATGATATAGAGAGTTAAGGTATTTTAATTACATTTTTTAACTACACTTTACAATATATTAGACAGAGTTTAAACAAGGATGATTAGATGGAATGATAAACAACTGACAAAAATAATATTTGTAGAGTTAATAAGTACTTTATTTGTCATAAAATGTTAAGGTAATACTGGAACAGGCTAGCCGGCCAATGAATTAAACAAAAATATGGTCCCTAACAAATTAGAATGGTTAAACAGATTTTGTGCAAGGTTTCTCAACATATTCCGTTATTTTTCTCTGTTTGAGAAAGATACATTTCTAACCATTACTTGTAACTTAATTTTGATGCTTAATCTTGTAGTGGAACTGGAAACTACATTGCAAGTAGAAGCTAACATTAACTGTTGCAATGATATTGATATTGAAAATTATGCTAATAGATAAGAAATATTAAATAGACAAGAGATTACTCACATTAGGACCAAAAATGAAAAATCCACCAATCAGATTTGCCAATCCCATAGCTACAATGTTCACTGTGGCAACACAAGACAAGATTGTGAGTAATGTAAACTATTACCTCTAAATCAAATGTCAAACACTACTATAAACAGCTTTAACCTCAATTATATCAAATCTACTAATCCTCCAATCTTAAGTTAAAGAACAGAAAAATGGTTATAAAATCACTATGATCTGCATGAGAAACTTTTGCAACTATCCTAGAAGTGATATGCTAATATTTATTCATGGATCCAAAATTAGACTGTCATGGATGGTAAATAATTTATTAATAAATGTCATGCTAGTAGATCCTAAAATATGTGTACATGTTATATTTAGTGCAGTCTATAAACTGATAACCATTTATACAGGTAAGCAGAGAAACATGTTAGTGCCAGTTTGGTTACCATACAATTAAAATGGAAATATATTATGCCATAAGAAACTTCCATACCTAGCAAAAACAAATGTATAAAATCTCATTCCTATTTCCTACTTTTGCATAACCAACCAAAAAGGAAAATGTGTGAAAAACTTACTTGTGGTGGCATCTGCAGCAGCTGCAGATGACACAACACTTAGGCTTGTCATTGATTCCATTAACCCACCATAAACAACGCTCTTTAGGATTTCCAATGTTTTAGAGCCTTCTTCATCTAAAGTTATTATAGGTTGTTGCTCCCTGCTCCCTGCATGTATTGGACAACTATGTCAAAATTATTTACCAACGTGCTCTGCGTGAGTGTTAAAAATGCATTAGATTTAATAACAATCAGCTAGTAATTTTTTGTATCATTATGCTAATCATGAAAAACATTAATATATACACACATATATATATGTATATAGTCCAGGCCTTTAACCATTACCTACAGTCTAAAAGTTGAAAGTCAAAACTCAACTTTTTTCATATACAAGAAACTTGGGAAGAAGACCTTTCTCATAAATTTAATATGAATGAATCACCAATAACCCCCATCTTCTGCTGGTGCTTAGTTGTGATTTTATCTTCCAAAAAAAATATAGAAGAAAATCTCCAGTAAGCTGCAGTCAGGTTAACCAAGCTCGGCGTATGATCTCCAAGTCAAAGAACTAGGCCTTAAAATTTCCAACCCAATGAATTTGGGACATGTTGCAGCCTAAGACCGTCTCATGTTAGTGTGTAATGAATGGCTAATCTATTTCTTAGTTTAAACTAATGAAATGCAAAAGTAGATATAAAATAAAACTGAAACAGAATAGCACAGATGGAGGTTGCTAATGGGAAATTAGTGTAGAATTAAAACATATATATACCTTTCGACTTTTCATCATCAGTAATCTCTCTGTCTCCAGTTTGATGACCCTCTGATTCTGTGCAAAGTTTATCATCTGCACAAGTTTTAGTGTTCTATTCAGCATGCATGAAAAACACAACTGCCTAAAACCAATGATTTTATAACATCAACTGTTTAGCATCTACAACAAAACAATTTTTATGTTTAAGCGTACCTAATGAGGAGCTAATTCGTATTGCCATAAATTGATGAGAAATGTGGAAAACATGTGTATGTATACGTCATATATTATATGCACGAACACAGAGAAAGAGAGAGAGAGAGAGAGAGCCAACCTCCCTTTGTTAGAAAAGTAGTTGTTAGTAACAATTATCAGAAATTTTCTTCCTTAAGAGCACTAGACTTGTAATTTAGGTTTTAATTGCATCACCTGATCCCTCTTCTATGTTGATTGCAAGATCTCCAAGACCTCCAGGTGGTACAACTCTGTTGGTTGAAGGAGCAGTTTCGAACACTGCTGTACCAGGTGACACAGATTCTTGTGATGGTGTTTTAGTTTCTGCATAACCATAACAAGCAAATAGGCCAAATCATTTGGTTGTCTCTAACTTCTGTATACTCCTAAAGGTATGATTCCAAATCATTTTTCCATTAAAATGAAAAGTTTCCTAGTATTTTAAATACCCTGCTTATCTTGACAATGACACCCCCCCTCTGGATACACGTAGCACTCACCCAGCTAGCCTAAAATAGTATGAAATGATAAATCAGAGACTCCTGTTAACCCAAAAGAGCATACTGGAAGAAGGAAAGCACAAATATACAAGGACATTTATCCATTGTCTGAAGTAACATTTTACGCGTCTAGAAATTTTGAATGCGAGAGATAAAGAGTAATTAACTAGTTGCAACAAATAGTGGAAGTAGATGCTGGAAACTAATTGATTGTACTCATTATTGCTAGTTAAAAGTTCTGAAAGAGTTGAATATAAATAAAGGGCCGCAGATGATATTTTGGTGTATTTATATCCATATTTTATAGTGGATTGGTGTAGTCATGGAAAATGTTTTGGAGCTCTAATTTGTGAGCTTTAATAGCTCTAATGTGTATGTGGGGTCCATCTGATGTGATGATTTGGTCTTGTGTTTTTTTTTTTTTTTTTTTTTTTTTTTTTTTTTTGAAGAATTTTTTTTTTTTGATTTTCCACCTCACTAGAGCTCTAGTTTTAGAGGGATGTATCATTGTTGTATAGTCATTTATATGTAGTATTTTAAGTCAAACTGGATTAGAGTATGCACAATGGCAAATATTTTTGGAGCATACATTGGGCCTTGCTTTGGACCAGATAAGTGAGTTCATGCTAAATATGAGATCTTAACTTTCTTTTATTTTTGGACCCATAATGGGATTAGTGATTTTTAGATACAGAATAGAATCCCCCTACTCTCATCCCATACATATAATAACTATGGCTAGCCTACTAAGTCATATTATTACTGATGATAACAAAAGGGAAACATAGGGTAGTTCACCTCTCTCTCTCTCTGTGTTCTATACGAAAATTCAAATTCTCTTTTCAGATTGCAGTAGACAACTCAAAGCTTCATCATCTCAGTCAGCAGCTATGACTGACTCTTCAAGTACACAGGTATGTATGGCTCACATTAGATTAGTCATGCCATGAACTGAAGCATGTTCAAATCTATTATAGATGAAATTAGTCTAACACATGTTACCTTCTTGACCAATCACCATGCTCGCTGTCTCATATGTGACACAACTGGAATAATTTCCGGCTATGGCAGATGTTGGCTGAGGATTTTGTTTGCTCGTAGAAGCCCGGAATATATCAAAAAACCTCCCTGCTTAACAAATTTTGAACGTTAATCAACATTGTAGTCCAGAATGAACGCTAGCACCACAGATTAGTCAAGGAATGAAGAAAATGAGTGTGTGAAAGGATAAAATTTCAAGTTTGAACAGTATGTAATAGTTAGAATATTTGTGTAGTTCTTAGTTATGTAAAATTCCTTGGGCTTCTTCTGTTTGAATTAACACAAGTGGAGAGGAAAATGTTTTTCCACTTTCCTAGTCAGAGATCAGAAAATTTCTAGTTGGGCAAAACCAACCAAAAGAATTTAATTTTCTTTCGAGGATTGCCATTAGATAATAAAAATGAAGTTGAGGAAAGAGGATTTCCACTTTCCAAGTCAGAGATCATAAAAGTGATGTTGCAGATGACATATTACCTTGCTGCTGATCAATCTTCAGTATCACCATCTCTACCACTCACCACCATAGAACACCACCACACTTCACCAGCCGCCACCATCTCACAGATCCACCATCATCAAGTATTAACTCAACATCCATCACCCAAAGCACAGTTGGCTACCACTGTTTCGATCAAAACGCTATAGAGAGAAATAGAGAAGATCGAACCAGATCTAGATAACCCTTTTTCTCATTTGGCTGGTGATAAACCAAATTGAACTAGAGAAGGTGGTGGGTGGAGGCCCGCGATGGCAGAAGAGGAGAGGGAGAGAGCTGGCCATTTCTCAAAATCAGGACCCACCTCTGATTCTTTTGGTTCTCATATCCTAGAACTAGAGACAGAGTGAAGTGGAGATAATCTTCAAGCTGGAGAGGAAGGGGTGTTGGTGCTAGAGAAGGAAGGTGGAGGGGGATGGTGGTCGGGTTGGAGAGGAAGTGGATGTCACATTGGGGGAGGGGTTAGGGTTTGAAAATAGGGAGAGCAGTCTTGGAGAAGCAGCCAGCAAAAACCTTTTAATTTCTAAAGAATTTTCAACTTCCATATCCAGTTCCAACTCACCATGGCAGTGTTCTCACTGGTTTGGGTTAAAAGGTGATAAGCTGCACTTACTGAGAAAGTTCCTACAGGTGACCCTTTCCAATGTGGGCTATCAATTACTTCTACAAATTGAGGTAAATGGATTTGCAGAATGTTCTGAATGACAGATTGTGGAATGAGGTCTGCAATTGGATCAAGCTTCCAGGAACTATCTACCTGTATAATATCAGCTACCCTCAGGTTATTTAAAGAGTGATCTCCATGGCACTGTGTTGCAATGGTGCTGTCTCCACACAATCTTCGAAGAAAATTAACCTGACCAAGGAACTTTTGTAATTCTTTCTTACTTGATGGAGGTCTGGCTTCAATGATGGCTTTGGCTTTATTCTGGTCAATCTGTATTCCTTTCTTGTGTACTACATAGCCCAAGAAGTTTTTAGATGATACGCCAAAAGCACACTTAAGAAGATTGAGTTTCAACTTAAACTTTCTCATTCTTTCAAAAGTTGCTTCTAAGTGAAACATATGCTCCTCCGTGGATTGTGATTTCATTACAATGTCATCAATATAACACTCTAAATACCCTCCAATAAGATCATGAAAGATAGTGTTCATAGCCCTCTGATATGTAGCCCAGCATTCTTCAAGCCAAATGGCATTTTAACCCATTCCAATGTGCCAATATTCTCAGGACATCTGAATGCTGTCTTATGGACATCCTCCTCTGTAATACAGATTTGGTTATAACCAGAGTGCCCATCCATCATTGATAAAATTTGATGCCCTGCTAAACTGTCTACCAACAAATCTATTGTAGGCATAGGATACTCATCTTTTGGAGTTGCTAGATTTAAGTTTCTGAAATCAATGCATACCCTCATTTTACCATTCTTCTTAACTACAGGCATAATATTGGATAGCCATTCAACATACCTGACTGTCCTAATAAAGCCTGCCTTGAGTAGTCTAAGAATTTTCTCATTAACTTTCTGAATCACTTCTGGACTCATTCTTCTTGATTTTTGCTTGTATGGCTTGAAATTAGGCCTCACAGGGAGCCTATGTTCTACTAATGACCTATCAAATCCAAGTAGTTCATTATAAGACCATGCAAAACAATCTTTATATTTCTTCAAAACAACCAACAACTGGTCCCTGTCAAGAGCATTCAACCAAGCACTTATATAGGTGGGCTGTTGTATAGAACATTCCCCTAAATTTACTTCTTCTAAGGGGTCTTGTATCTGAGAACTTACTGAAGCTCCTTCTTTGATTCCTTCTGCCTTCGAAGCAATCTTCTTGCTTTGTTCTGCTCCCAGTTTCTTTGATTCAACATCTTTACCCTCCTCCTCATAGACAAAGTCTGTCCATAAGGCTTCTCCTTCCTGTATCTCCTGGACTTTTGTTTCAATGTCCAATGCACAGTATTTATCAAGGGCCAAAACTCTAGCCTATTGCTGCTCCTGCTTGCAGCCAATTATCATGGCTTCTTTCTCTTGCTCTCGCACTTTCTAGACTATTGATTTTACATCCAATATTGAGAACTTAATTAGAGCCAAAGACTTGGCTTCTTGTGCTTCATCTCTTTGCCTACAACCAGGCATCATTGTCATCCTTAACGACAACCTCTTCATCAGCATTCTCCTGGACTAAGTGCTTCAGGTGTGCCAATTCCTCATCAGCCGTAACTTCGGCTGAGCCATCAGGTTTTCTTAGCATACTGAGTGGTGTCACTCCCTCAATATACAATTTGACCTCTGCAAAGTCTACACAGGCCATGAAGGGTTGAGGATCTGCGTCAATTTCCTCTGTCTCTCCATTGTCCAAAGCTATCATTATCTTCTGATGCAAAGAGGAAGGCACACACTTGTTAGTGTGAATCCAATCTCTACCAAGTAAAGCATTGTATTTAGCATTGCTGTCGATAACGAAGAATGCCGTCATGCAGTCCCTGGTTTCCACACTCTAGTTGATGGGCAAAATTCCCTAAGCCATCTGTTTGTCTCTAGCGAAGCCAGTAATGGTTGTGCTAGTTGGGATTAACCTGGGATTCCTTTTCCCTAGTTTCTTCAAGGAAGATTTCGGAAGTAGGTTCACTGCTGTCCCATTATCCATCAAGACTCGGTTCAGTTGTATCCCATCGAAGAAGGCCTTGATATACAAAGGCTTGACATGTTGTGTCATAGATGTCGATGGATACTCAAAAGGATATGAGGTTAATACCCACCTCTTCTTCACTCTCGTATTTAGTTTTTCATTGGGGTAGCCATTCTGGATTCATCTTGCACCATACTCACTTGTGAGTCTTCACCAGAGACTGGAATTGGGTCCATTTCTTGATCCTCTTAGTTCTCATCTCCAGCTTGGAACTCATGCGGTAGTGTATGTACCATATTCACTGATACTGGAGGAAACGAGCCAAATTGGATGGCTGGCTGTGCCTTTTTCTCCTCTTGGCCTCCTTGTTCAGTTACTTCAGAAGCATCTTTCATGCTGCATTCTGGCACTTCATTACTAACAAACTCCTTCGAATGGTCTTTTTCGACTGGCTTCTTAACCAAAAATGTCTGTTCAGCTATGAAGGTTTCGAACATTTCTTCCTCAACCACTTCTTTCTTTTGGCTTAGGCCAACTTCTTCCTCTGTCTCGCTATCACTCTCCATCAAAGCCTTCTCCAATCCTGCTAAGCTGGACCTCTCTCTGGCCTTTAGTTCAGAGTGAACTTTGGCCAACTGTTCTCTGCTGCAACCCATCTTGTCTTGTAGAGTTGGTTTTGGAGTATGGTCTGACTTTGGATTCTCCTTTCTTTCTGTCTGGACCAATGAAGAGCTTTCTCCACTTTCTTTCAGGCCTTTCTAGTACTGAGTGTACCTACGCTGAATCTTTCTCCTTTGTGATCTAGAAATTACAGGGACCATGTTTGCTTTCTCTGTTTTTGGATGCTTTAGCAACACCCAATTATTTAGGCCACCAGTGGAGGTTTAACCATCCTACCCTGATCTCCAATAGCATTTCTTTGGGCAGGTATCTCCCTAGGTTTGTTCTGCATGACAAACCAATCTAAGACTCCAGGTACCTATGAACACCCTAATTCAGTTGTTGAGCTGTCTCTTTCTTGCATCGAATCCAGTTTCGAAGCTGCTTGTGAATGCCATTGCTTAGCCCTAAGTCCTTGTTTTGGGCCTAATTCAGGCCTTCCACGAAAGTGGTCACTTTCCATCTTGTGTGAGGTTGGTCTAAGAGACCAATTTCTGGCTTTGATCCCATAACTTAAGCTTATTTCAGTCCTTCTTTCAGGATGATTGCCCTCTACTTTGTAATAGTTGGTAGGTCTGGACTCATGTAGATGCCTCTTACCTTTGAATTGCACTCTAGTAGCTACTGATTCAGCCATGAATGGCTGTTGCCTGGGAGCAGTTGGATATGGCATTTTGTTATAAGCACTGGTTGGTTTAGGACGTCTCTGCACATCCCTGTAGTGTTGCTTTCCATCAATCGGGAGCCCTTTCAGCCACTTATAGCTCAACTTACACCTGGGGCACATTCTTTGGATAACTGCTGCCTCTAAGGAATCACCATCCAGTGCTTCTTTATCAGAGTCTTTTCCCTGACTTGTAGAGCCTTGTCCAACAACTGGCAGACTTCTAGTGTCTTTCTTAACAGTAGCCTGGCTGGCAACATGCATTTGCACATTGACCTTTTCCAATTCCTGCAAAGATAAATTCTGGAAGTCTGGTACAACAACATTACCTGCACTTTTTCTAACTTTTGGAAATGGATTACTGTCGATCCCTATGGCCTTTTTTGCTTTAGCTGGGAATTTTAGACTTCCTTTCCAAATTTGTTCTTGGATCCTGTCTCGAAAAACAAAACAGTTTTCAGTCGAGTGAGACCAAGAATTATGCCAGTTACAATACACTTTTCCTTTAAGTTCATATGGAGATGGAATTTTGACTCCTTTTGGTAACTTAAGGAAGTTGGCTGCAAGCAAATGATCAAAAATGTCATCTGCCTTCGTTAAATCGAAAGAGTATTTCCTACGAAGGTCTTTCTTTTTAAACTGCTGGTCAATTGTTGTGTCCTTATGAATTAATGCCTCACAGATCACAGGTTCTTTCCCCACAATCTCTGCTGCATCAATCTCATAATTAGGATCTTTATAATATGTCTTGTATGATGCATTATTTCTATCTTGTTCCTCCTCTAGTAAAGCTTCATACCTAGACACCTTATAAGTT